GAAAGTAGGAGGAGTGAGCAGACTTTGAACCAACAGCAACAAAAAAAAGTAACAAAGTTCCCTTCTACCTCCATCTGCTGGTGTGTGTGTGTGTGTGTGTGTGTGTGTGTGTGTGTGTGTGTGTGTGTGTGTGTGTGTGTGTCTGTGTGTGTGTGTGTGTGTGTGTGTGAAAAAGTCCCTTCTGGGAAAAACTCACTCAGCTCCAAATACTTTTCCAAGACATTCTTGGAGCTGAGACTAACATATCCAATTTGGCAGTGAGAAGTGTGATTTTAATTAGACCATTTCCCTCTGGGGCCTGGGGGTCTGCTGGCTGAACTTCATAAAAGAGTCTGTGGGTGGGCAATGCACCAGGAGCTCAGAGGTGAGCAGCATTCAGGACAAGCCTCCCAGAGGGGCCTGGCTGTCATTTTGTGAAATTTCCCCTATTCCTTCCTCCTCTTAAAGTAATTGGAAATTGCTACACTGAGGGAGAGAGGTGGACTCTTTTGGATAGGAAAGGGCTTTGGAGCTCTTGGATCCAATCCAGCTAATATGCAGGGCATTTGTCTTCTAGCCACAAGGCAGCAGTGTAGATCAGTCACTTAATTCAGACAGGTGCCCCCTTGTCTGCTCCACAGAATCCCTTCTGGGCTGAGAGAGACTGTTTGTGCCACTAGCCAAGTGGGAAGTTTCTGTTCCTCCTGTCCATGAAATCACCTGGTCTCAACCTTCTCTCCTCCAGAATATTTTATGATTTAAAGCTTTTTACTTCTACAATGGGGGACCATACCGAGATATATTATTGGTTGCTGACAACATCTCCTCCATGCTGGAGAAAACTAAGGTTATACAGCTGGGTTTGTGGGTGGGCTTGTTGGCGGGGTGGGAGGGGTGGATGGGAAGGACAAATGTATAGCAGAGAATAAAAACCAAGTTGACTCTCAGAGAATCTGAGAGTTGAGAGAGATTTAGGTGGCACATCCTGTTTTCAAGTCTTCTTGGGCCATCAACTCCCTTTGAAAACTGGATATGTACTTCTTATCCTGAGAAAAGATGAAATGTCTAAAATAAAAATCCAATTGCATCCAGTATTTGCTTTGAATCTCTGAGATGGATTTCTACTATACCCAGATTTAATAGATTACTTTTAAACCAAGCTCTCTTCAATCTCTGACCCCATATACTTCTCCAGTTTTCTAATTCACACTCTTCACAGTTTTCTGTATAGCATTCTTCCTTCTTACAAGGCCCTGAGGATTCTCCCTCTCTTTCACTGGGCTACCCTAACTTCATTCCCAATCTATATTCTGTATTTACTTGGCTAAATAAAACCCATTGCTCACAGTTCCAATCAGGAGTTATATCTCTTCTGAAACTTTTTCACTTAGTTCTCCTCCCCTGCTTATTGGTAAAATTGGAAGACTGACCAGGTCCTCCCATAGCAACCTGTTTCAACTGTTTCAACTAGCACTGACGCTAGATTGTATTTGCTTAATTTTCTCTTTTCAGTTAAAATGTAAGCTCAATAAAACTAAAGACAGATCTGCTTTTTTTGTATCCCTATACCCCACTTTAGTGTTAAGCATATTGTAGGTATGCAGTAAATATTTGATACACTAACAAATGAAACCCCAGAGGGCTTCTTGTTAAACTTTTAATGATATTTGTCATTTCCTGAGGATTATATACTTCTCTTAAAAGCCATACAGAATTTAGAGGATTGGTGTCACTTTTCACTAATAATTTACAAATAGACAATAAAGACTGTTGGTGTTAAGCATGAAGTTTTTGGTAAACAATGGCTTTTGGAAATATTTTAAAATATGGACCTGAATTAAGGCTAGAGTGTTAGTTGCATTGTATTGAATCTGGAATTCTGTTTATGTAGTTTCTCAAATACACATGAGGATACTAACTTGATTGAATTCACTGTGCTCAATATGTACAAGTAAAGGCCCAGACAACAGAAATATTGGCAGAGATGAACCTAGACATACTCAGGAAATCAGGAGACAGCCAGAGGGCAGCTGTCCTTCTGTGCTTTTCCAAAAGGAAAGATTTTGAACTGCATTTGGATAATTATTTGTCAAGATTTAGAATCAAGAACAGTCAAAAGAACAATCTGGCCAGAAAGAAAAGTTTATTAGTTATTGAAACAAGGCAATAAGAATAATTGGAATGCAGAACTGATTAAGAAATAAATTTCACAATGCTGGGTAAGAAATGTACTCATTTGTAACTGTAACCCCTCTGTACAGTATTTTCACAATAAAAAAAAAAACAAAAGAAAAAAGAAATAAATTTCATAAGTTTTATCTTTTCACTCTGTATATCATCCTATGTTTTAAAAGATAGATTCTAAAGGGTCTAAGAACGCTCAAAAGTATTTCATGGTAAGGGCTTCATCAGTGTTACACAGAAAGATGATAGAACGTGCCATGTTCACATGAAGATGATTCTAGAACTAAGAGCTCATTTGTAAGTCTCCTCCTATCATACAAAGTGCCAGGGACATTTAGCTTTTGTTTAAGTCAGAATCAACATAAAAGAGATAGATAGATGGGACTGGGAAGGTGGCTCAGTGGTAGAGCGCTTGCCTTGCATGCATGAGGCCCTGGGTTCGATTCCTCAGCACCACATAAGCAAAAAGAAAAAAGCTGCAAGTGGTGCTGTAGCTCAAGCGGTAGAGCGCTAGCCTTGAGCTGAAGAGCTGAGGGACAGCACCCAGGACCAGAGTTCAGGCCCCACAACTGGACCCCTCCCCCCGAAAAAAATGACATAGATAGATAGATAGATAATAGATACATATGCTTATACCTCTATACATATATACCTGATGGATGGAGAAAGACACGCAGAGAGAGAGAAGAGCATAGCTAGGTCAACTGACTTACTGCATTATGAATATTTGGATATCCCACAATTAGCCATCTACAAGCTGGAGAAGCAAGGAGGATGCTAACATAGCTCAGTCCAATTCTAAATGCCTCAGTCCAATTCCAAAGGAAGCCAATTTTATAGGTGACATTGGTGACAGTTCTGAATCCCAGGACCCAGAGAACTTGGATCTCTAACTTCTCAGAGTAGGAGATAAAGAGCTACGGCTGAGGCGAAGAGATTAAGACATGGCATTCTTACATCTTCTCTTTTCCATCTTTGAATGCCAAACTGCCTGGCATACCTGAAAGTCTCCTCTTAGTCCAATAACACTCTCCCCTCCAGAAATATTCTCATAGATATCACTTGGGGACCTATATATTGTAGCCAAACTCCAAACTCTTGAGGCTTCTTTTCAGCAGAAAAATAGATGGGCAAACTGCCTACTGACACATTGGAAATAATTAATGCTTCCTATTATAATCCATGGATATCCCTTCATTCATTCAATTGATGCTCAAAGTGAGCAATGCCAACATCTGAGTTGCAGTGAGAACTATGGTTCAAGTTATATCTCACTTATTTCTTCTCTGATATGTAAATTTTTTATTAGGGAAAGAAGAAAAATTGGCAGAGATTTTATTTTCTTCGTTGGGCATTCCCTATGTTTCCCAATCAGGCAGAAGTTAATAGTTTCTCATAAAAATATTAGGCATTTACTTTCATCTAGCACATGTTTCTTCCTTCCTATGCATGGGGGATAAAGTTCCAAGATATCATGTTAATACCAAAATCCATGGATGGTCGTATCCCTTATATACAGAGAAATAGTACTGCATATAACCAGTGATTTATGCATGTCCTCTCCTGAATTTTAAAATACCACTTGACCACCTATAATGCCTAATACAAATGTCAGAGGAACAATTGCTATATTGTACAGTCTCTAGCAAACAATGAGCAGAAAAATGTCTGTACTTGTTCAATAGAGAACCAATATTTTGTTGAATGTTTTCAATCTGTGGTCGAGTGAACCTTCCAAATACAGAACTCAGATATATTCAGTTCTTGAGGCCTTAAACTTTTGAATCTTTAAACAATGATGATGATGATGATGATGATGATGATGATGATGATGATGATGATGATGATGATGATGAATATTTTGAGTTTGCCAATTCATGGAAATGTTTGATAACAAATATCATTTAACCTGCTAAGATTGGAGGACGTTTTCCTCAAGTGCTTTTGCAAGATTCCTATAACCAGGTTTTCTTGTAGGTATCAGTCTAGATTCTATATTGACTCATGCATTATAATCCTCATTGAATAAAGATTAACTTTTTCTTTTATCAGTTTTTGTGGAAAACTAGTATCTGGGAAGAAAAGGGGACTCAACAGCCAAAGGGGGATGAAGGAACTCATAGTCTACATGCTTTTTTTCTTTACTTGAAGTCAATAAATCTTTACTTAATTATTTTTACCTGTTGTGATTCCTTCACTGCCCATCAAGATGAAGTTCAAAATTTATCTTTAAATCTTGGACAGCCTTTTATGAAAGAAAGGATCCAAGCCATGCTCAGGAGGCTGAGATCTGAAGACTGGTTATTGTGTCCAATTGACCAAGTGGCAAAACACCAGGTCTAGAGTTCAACCTCTAGTACTAGGTCACACAAAAAACTAACTGATCAGCTCTGCCACAAATATTTTATTAGGGCTTCTTTTTTTACCATTATAGAAATACTGATGAAAATTTCTAATTCCCACATCTGCATTTTTTTTGGTGGTCGTGGGGGCTGAACTCTGGGCCTAGGCACTGTCCCTCAGCTCTTCAGCTCAAGGCTAGCACCCTACCACTTGAGTCACAGCGCCACTTCTGGCTTTTGTCTGCTTATGTGGTCCTGAGAAATTGAATCCAGTGCCTAATGCATGCGAGGCAAGCACTCTACCACTGAGCCACCTTCCCAGATCCACAACATTCCATCAAACAACTTATTTTGGGATCCTAGAAAGATGTTACAGAAACCTCTTGTTATGAATAGCAATGAATAAAAGTTTAGTTAAAACCTAAACTTTTATTCATTACTATTAATACTGATTGAACACTTTTCTCTCATTGTATCTTTTTACCCGTGAGCTAAAAATGTTTCAGGTCTCCTTGTCACCACTGGAATGCATTTATGGTGATAGAAGCAAAACCTGTGTCTCAATTTAGCTTCATTGACCAGTTTTGGACCCTGATCAACAATACCCATTCTTATCTGGAATGCTTTTAATACTAAAGTGTGTTTATGTGTGCCTAGGTATATCCTCTACTTTCTTGTTCTCATTGAATTCTGTTGCTATTACAGAGAGGAATTGGGCAAGAGATACGTTTACTTTTCCTTATTAAAATAAGCACATGTGACCATGGGTTTTCAAAAGATCATCTGTCTAAATTAAACAGGTTGAAGAGGAGAAGTTAGGAAGCCATAAGGAGGCAATTAGAAAAGTATATTTAAAATGACATTTTCAAAGTCTACATCGATGCTCATCCATCCATAAATTCCCAAGCACTTAGACCAGTACTCAAATAAGTAACAATGTTGATTGAAACCAGACAAGAAGGCATATGCTAATTCCAATTAAATGAAATACTGTTTAGAATTAAATATTTTCCATTTTTTAGAAGCAGCTCAGGTCACAGCAGGGGAGGGATTTGTGTCAGACCTTTGTATTGGCTATGCGATGTTTTATAGCTGTTTTCCTAGAAGCCCTTTAGCGATTAGGGAGTAACCAATGTGGATCAGTCATTTCACTGTAAACATTTGTTTCCACATTCTTAAAAGTGGGAATAACAGTAATAATACCTACTTGATGAGTTTTGCTTAAGGAACACTGAAAAAATGTTCAACACGCATCCCATATAAGTGATTCATTCTACATGACCCTGAATGTTGCTCTCACTTGCTCTTTCTACCCCTTTATAAGCAAAGATTCTCCTCTCTCAACTTTGTCTTCTAATGATAAATTGATGTATCATATCTCACAGAGGCACAGAATCTATTCATGTGCCTGTACTGTCCTTAGCTCAGAGGATGTGCCATTTTACCCTTACCTACTAATACTTGACTATGATGGATCTTTAAGTAAAATCTATGAACAACATGATTTCCAATTGTTGGTCCTATCCATCACAAATGAGGATGCAAATGAATCTATTGGCCTCTTTCTTAGAAATCTTGGGTTTAAAACAAAGCCAAGCACAGCTTTTGATCCCAGGGTGGATCAGAGATGTTCATCAGTAACAGAAGCAGCCCCATTATAACCATATTTGGAAAAGAATGTTTCTCAGACCTATGAGTATCTATGAGCAAGTTCACAAGCTTTCACATTTTGATGAGTCATAAACGTCTTTAGGATCAGCTAGTTTCAGAAGAAAAAGAGAAAATAGCTTAAATTCATGAAAGCATACATGCCATCAGAAACGTATACATGCCATCTTATAAAGCAGAATATAGCTTAGGAATCATACTGACTCTATAAATGTATAAAAAGCAAAACTGTACTATCATCCAACAGCTAGAAACTTGTTTGCTCAATTCAAAGTGTAATTTGTTACTGAGTAAGCCCTTTAGTTTTATTTGGGAAACTGAATAGCTGTAAGTAACCCAGTGGAATTGTGCTTTGCAAATGTTGGCCTCCTAAAAATCAATTTCACTTTTTCTCTCTAGTGATGCCATAGTTCATCTTAGCAAGACATTCAGTTGGCAATGGTTTTCTGAAATCCTGCAGGGTTCTCAGCAGTGTATTAAGTGATGGATGGTTAGAAAGTTGATGACTGGGGATGGGGAGGGGAGTGTGTCTGCTATTAGTGCAGTTACCATTTTATTGAAGCTGGCAGAACTACAGCCGTTCCAGAAGTCTAAAAATTCTTCTACCAGAGTCAGATGCCTTTTGTAAACTAAATCCTTTGAATAGCCGAACTAACCCATATTAATGAAACTAAAAATGCAACTTGGAATTTTACTCTTTATTATACTGAGAAATTTAGCTATGTTTTGAGAAAGCTTAGCCTGGCCGGGGCACTTTATTATATCATTTAATTCTTATTTAAAAAGGAAAGCTAAACTGGGCCTGGGAGGCTCATACCTGTAATCCTAGTTACTTAGGAGGCTGAGATCTGAGGATTATGGTTCAAAGCCAGACTGGGAAGAAAAGTTCCTGTGATCTTTACTCTTACTTACAGCTAGCCATTCAAAAACTGAAAGTGGCACTGTGGTTCATTGTGGTAGAGAGCTAACCTTGAACAAAAAGACCTCAGGAACAGTTCCCAAGCTCTCTGAGTTCAAGCCCCATGACCAACAACAAAAGAAAAAAAGGAAAGGTTGAGGATAGGGAGCAAATACAGGATATCTGTCTTGTGTCAGTGTATCTATCTATCTATCTATCTATCTATCTATCTATCTATCTATCTATCTATCTATCTATCTATCTATCTATCTGCCTGTCTGTCTGTCTGTCTATCTATTTATCTGTATCTATATGTAGCTATATATAATTTGATGTATGGATTTATGTTATTTCATTTAATTATTCTGATTAAAATATTAGTCTAATCTGAAGGCACCCCCCCCCCAGAAAACTGAATCTCTAAATATCTAAATATCTGGGCATCCTGTGATCTAGTTAAGGAGGCACATAAAATTAACCAATATATCTGTATACCATTATACCTATTTCAGTTTTGATTTTTCCTATCAGATATTTGTTTTATACTATCTTAATCCCTTAACTGAATAGAAGACACTAGACTTTACAGGGGAAAAAATATTCATTAGAGGGAAAGCAAAAGGCCTATGGAGTACTATTCCAATAATCCAATAATCTAGAAGAGATAAATTCACATCTTAAACTCAGTTGTTATGGAGAAAGTGGAGTGTTGGTGTAAGTATGGTATAAAGTGTGATGCCATCTGTTGGTATTAAGGGTTAGAAGAAACATAAGGATAAAAATCAACAGGATTTTTTTTGGCATATTATTTGAAGAGATGTTAAGTAGCGATTTAAATAACTGAACTTTGAATTTTAGAGAAGATTTCTATGATATTTAAGCTTTGTAACCAGTAAGATTATCTTGAATGGAAGTCTGTAGATGACGGCTCTTGGACCAAATTTGGTGAATGACTTTATATAAATAAAGTTTTAATAAAACACAGCCATTCTTGTTTGCTTATGTCATATCTAGAGTCTCTTACATGCAATGGCAGAATTATGTATTATGTAGCAATTATCTGTTGCAATTATATAGCTTCAAAGCCTAAAATATTTTCTTTCTAACTTTTTATACAAAAATCTCTGCTGAATTCTGAACTCAGAAGTAATTACAACCAAAGAAGAAATGAAGAACTAGATTGAGTTCTACATTTCTATAAGATCAATGAGGTAAAAGTGGTCTATCAAAAGAACCTGGGAGCTGGGTGCCAGTGGCTCATACCAGTAATCCTTGCTACTCAAGAGGTGGCACTGTGGTTTCAGTGGTAGAGCATAAGCCTTGAGCAGAAGAGCTCAGGGACGGCACCCAGGCCCAGAGTTCAAGCCCCATGACTGAAAAAAACAAATGAACAAACAAACAAACAAAAAAAAACTTGAGAAGTAAGTCATGAGGAAAGAAAGGCCAGTGATAGCTGAGGAACCAAATGGAAACTTAAAAAGAACAATAGAAGCCGGGCGCTGGTGGCTCACGCCTGTAATCCTAGCTACTCAGGAGGCTGAGATCTGAGGATCACGGTTCAAAGCCAGCCCGGGCAGGAGAGACCGTGAGACTCCTATCTCCAATAAACCACCAGAAAACCGGAAGTGGCACTGTAGCTCAAGTGGTAGAGCGCTCACCTTGAGCTGAAGAGCTGAGGGACAGCGCCCAGGCCCAGAGTTCAAGCCCCATGACCGACAAAAAAAAAAAAAAAAAAAAAGAACAATAGAAAGATCACATTGATCAAGGTGCATTGTAAACTGACGCATTGAAGTAAAACCCTTTGGACAACTATTTTTAAAGATAATAATAATAACTTTGTGAAAGACAGGTATTCAAATGCAATGTATATTTCTAAGAGGTGATCTAAAGAAGACATCATGGGATTTCCCAACATGAATTTGTGATGCTTTTGATTAAAAAAAAAAAAAAAAACCTCTATAAAATAGTCATGGCAAAGCCTAATCCGATGAATTTAAGAAAGACTAGAAGATCAGGAAGTCAAAATAATGAATATGAATGATCTTGTGAGTACTGCTGTAAGAAAAAGCAGGAAAATTACATGAGTCAAATGCACAAAAAGGTGGCTAGATGAGCTTGCCAGGAGACAGACTTTTTGCTGAAGAACATCATGGAGAAAACCTACAAGACTGGGTTTTCATGATCAACATTGATAAAATGAAAGACAAGACTGAAGTAAGGAATGTAAAATAGAGACAAAGCAAATCATACGAGAATTTTTTAAATATCAAGACAGAGCTAAGCATTGATGATTCATCTTGTAATCTTAGCAACACAGAGATTAAGCTCTAGAGGATTATGAAACTCCAGAATGACCAGCAAAAAGCTAGGCTGGATGTATGGCTCAAGTGGTAGAACACCAGACAACTAAGCAAGACAAGCAAGTACAAGGCCCAGAGCTCAAACCCTGGTACCAGCAAAAGCAAAAATATTAAGGCAAATGACAATGGAAACATAATGCACCAAAAGCTATGGGATTCAATAGAAGTGATTTTAGGATTGAGTAAATGCTTCCAATGAAAAGTAAGAAAAATGTTATATAAATAGTTTACTATTTCAAGAATTAGAAAAAGAGCAAATTTAATTAAAAGAAAGAAATAATAAGGATCACAACAGAAATGAATCAGAGAATAGAAAAACCATTAAAATACAAAAGAGTGTGTTTTCTAAAAAATAAATGAAATCAGAAGACTCCAAGTCAACAGTGAAAGTGAAAAAATTACAACAGATGCTTCACAAATAAAGGTTCACAAAGAACCATTATAAGCGATTTTATGCCAAAAAATTGAATCACCTAGAGGAAATGGATAAATTCCTACAAAAATACAACCTGCCAAAATTGAATCAGGAAGAAGTATAAAGTCTAAGTAAAATAATAACAAATAAGGAAACTAAAGAAGCAATCAGAAACCTCCAACAAAGAAAAGCTTAGAGCCAGATATCTTCATAGCTAAATTCTAACAAACATTGAAAGAAAAAATAATTCCAATACTCCTGAAACTCTTCCAAAAGAACAAAAA